CCTCCACACGCTGCCTTCCCGGGCGGCGCCTAAGAGAAAGCCCAGCATCCGACAGCCAGACCCGCAGCCTCGGCCGCCGCCAGCCCGTCGCCAGGTCCCGGGCCTTTCCTTGCTGTGCCCCCACCCGGGTCACCGCCTGTCCGAGCCCTTGGGGTGACTCCTGACACCCCTTCTCTGGACGTCCCGCCAGAGGGGAGTCGTCAGAACGCAGAACACCGTCACCCCACTCCTGCCTTAGCGTGCCGCTCAGTGAAGACACTGTCCACCTCCCCCACCGTGTCCACCCTGCCTCTGTCTTTCCTGAATCTCCAGGGCCCGCTGCTCCTCCCCGACCTGGCCGTTCCCTCAGGTGCCAGCTCGTTCTCCAGAATGCCAGGCCCTCGCCCAGCAACGTCACAACGCGCTGGGCTGCCCTCTCTTGCACTTCACCAGGGGACTGTCGGGCTGGGCAGGTGCTGGACCCCCGCGCCCGCGGCCACACCCGCAGCTCCCTTGAGCAGGGGGCGGGGGGCATGGCGCTGGTTTTGTTCCCCGATGCCGCGGAGAGCATCCAGGGCCCTGAATCGCACCCTCTGAGATGTTTTTTGAGGAGACAGATTTGCGGTCACCTATGAAGAATGGAAGTTCGTCCCTGGACGCCTCGTTAAGGCTTTCGAGCCAGCCGAGGGCCGAGGAGCCGTGACCTCTGGGCTACGACACCGTCCTGCACAAGGAGCCCGGGTGTGGTTGGACAGCTGCGAAACGCCCCAGCCCGCAGACGGCTTTGCGAGAGCGGCTGGGTCAAGGCCTGGGCAGCGGGCAGGGAGGGACCCGGGAAGCGCTGAGGGCCGCAGACACCCCAGTGGGACGAGGGGTGCCGACAGCCACCGAGAGGCCGCACCCCTCCACGCTGCTCCGCAAAACCCTGCCAAGGCTTCTGAAGAGCGTTTTCTCTGGGACAGGTCAAAATTGAGATGTGAATTTGTCATCTTTCCCTCACTGACCCAGACGGCATCCGGGATGCAGCCGCGCAGAATTGCCAGCGAACAAAGGAAATGACGCAAGTTGAATTCAGCCCAGAGTTCTGGAGAATTCTGACCAAGCCACTCCAGCCAGACAGCTCAATTATTTATTACAAGAGCTGGGTGGAATCTTGGGTGGCTACTTGGGTTTGTCATAGTTTCCATCAAAAAAAAAGAAAATCAAGTCAATGCATTGTCTGTCAAAGGCCGCTTGGCAATCATCATTTTTCGTGCTAGAAGTGAGCACAAAATTGTGCATGCTGTAGGTGCAGGAGTGTTTTTCTGGAAAGGGGTCACAGTTTGGGGTGGTCTTGCCAGGATGCTCTTGTCTCACGCGTGGGAACCAGCAAACTGCGCGCTGACGGCATCTTCCCGGCCTCAGATGTCCTGCTTCTTCACACTGAGTCGTTGAAAATGTAGCAAAAATCCAGATGCGTGTATTTGCTGCGTCAGGTACAGTCTTCTGGAAAAATGTTCGGTTTTCCCGCAGCTGTGGGGTGTCGGCCCACAGAGGCGGCAAAGGCGGCCTTGCTGCAGAGTCACAGGGAGGCCGGGCGCTTGCGTCCCCGCGCCCGAGTGGAGGCACCAGAGCTGGGCTCAGCAGGTTGGCGCTCCTGGGAGGCGGGGAAGACGCGGGGAACCTGCACACTTCAAAGCAGTGGCCAGAGTGTGACGCCTTCCTCACCCAGGTGACATCGCCTCCACTGCAACAACCAATACTTGAGAGAGGCTGGGCAGGTCCCTCGGGCCACCTCTGGACAGCAGGAGACAGGAATGCGGGCAGCTGCCCCTGGCCCCAGCTGAAGGCACGTGCGTGGTGCCTCAGAACACTGGTGCCAGGTACAGAGGCCCCGGGAGGAGAGCCCCGTCGTGGCCTGGGGCGCTGCCTCAGTTCCCTGGTTCAAGGGGGTCTCTGCGCATGATGAAATGAGAGGCCCGGAATCCGGAGCCCCCCACGCCGCAAGCACAGCCTCCCCAGGAGCTGTGGGCTCTGCTCCTTTTTGCTCGATAGTTACAAGAATAAACTTAAGGACAGAAGCGGCTGTGGGAGCCCGGGCCTCGGGCCCAGACTCCATTTGCAGACACCCCCTTCTCCTCCGCCGCCCCCAAGGCGTCCCTCGTGCTTTGGGTGGGTCCAGCAATGGCAGCCTTAGGGCTTCTTCCTTTCCCCTCAGCAAAAGCCCGCTGACTTCAAAGACAGCGCTGGGTGGAAGATCCTGCTCTGCAGAACCTTCCAGGCCCCTGCCTTGCAGCCTCGACTGATTTCCATGGGGCTCCCAGGGAAAGGCTTGATTTAAGCTGGGGCCACTCCCTGAGGCACGTCCCCGGCCCAGCTCCCTGGCACCGGAGGGCGGGGGTAATAAAGAACCTGTTTACAATATTAAATTTCTCAAGACTTGAGGTGGAGCATTTTGGGCTCTTCACCACTGATCAATTTTTCAGTCTGCTGCTTTATCTACCTGACAGGAAGACTTGAACTACTGCCATTTCTAAATTGCACTTCTAAATATTGACTTAATGGCGAGACTCAAAGTGTCATAACACAGCTCACTGGAGCAATGAAGATTTTCCAGGCCTCGAGGAAAGGTCTGTGCAATGTCCTGGGGGGGAGGAGGAGGGAGAGTTGGGTTGGAGAAGAAAATCGAAGGAAGGCATGTTTAGCGGGCTGACACGGCTGGCGCTGGGCCCCGCGGACTCACGGGGCTGTTGCCTGGCCCTGCCCGGAGACGGCGACCTCGTCTCGAGACAAGGCCAGCCAGCTCGAGAATGCAGGGTGCTGCAGTACCCTGAGCCAGGCTGGGGCTGGGCGTCCCGCCAGTTCCAGGGGACTTTCTTCATGTGTCCAGTTCAGCAGGCTGGGCAGTGTCTGAGAAGCGTGGACACTTCCAAATGCTCCAAGCTCAGCTCTCCGCTGGTCTCCGCTCAAATCACTGAGGAAACTGGGAGGTGCCAGAGAGTGTTCTGGCCACGTCGGGTCGGCTGTTAGACTGAATCTAGGAAGACGCTGGCCCACTCTGGGGAGATGCTTTGGAGGAGCAGAAGATACTTGACATGTGAATTACCTTTGCAGCTCTTTTAACCACCAGTGATACATAAATTCCAACAGTTTTTTTTTTTTAAGATTGATTTTATTTATTTATGCACACAAGAACCAGGGTGCAGGCCAGAGGTGCAGAGGATGAGAGGACTCACCAGAGACAGAACGGGGAGCAGAACAGGCAGACGGATGAAGCATACTGCTGAGGGGAGCAGTGGGGAGACAGGAGAGGTCTGCTGTGCCCTGTGGGTCACCTCTCTGGCCGGGGATCGAACGCATGTCCCAGTGGCTGGTGATAACTTCATAGCGCTGAGACTTGATCTCTTGCACCCCCAGGGAGGCCCGATTCAAGCTGTCTGGAAGCCTTGGGGAGCTGACGCTCTGGGCTAAGATATAAAATACTCTGTGCAGCGCCCGGGACAGGCCTGGCCTGGGCCACTGCCTCCAGGATCTCTCCCACCTCACGGGGACACCCGGGTCCCAAAGGTCAGTGGCAGGAAGTCACACATGGAGAAGGGCTGTGGGGACTGGAGAGATGACGAGGGGGCTCCTGAGCCCCAAGAACTCGAGTTCCAAGCACAGTGTTAAACGCGGCGGTGGTGGGAGCTGACCCAAGGGGGCCAGCGTTCATCCTGATGGTCCTGAGGCTTGTTTCAAGGGGCCTGGGGCAGTCTGGCCGGTCCACTCCCTCTCAGGGGTGTCCTTGTGTTGATGAAAAGGCCTCTGAGGACAAGCTCACGAGCAGCCCCCAGGCCAGCTGAGCTTGGCTGACGCACCTGCTGGTGTCCCGACGGGCCTGTGCCGCTGCCCTGGGAGCGGTCTCCACGGGCTCCGGAGTCTCCTCCCTGCCTGGAAGCGGCTTCTCCCATCAGCGGAGGCTTGCTATCGCGAGAACCCCAGATGTGTCTGCGCGAGCTGACCCAGCCCCCCGCCACTGCCTGCCAGGGGAGCCGTGGGCCTCTGCTCCCGCGCCCAGGTTTGCGTGAGTGCACCCTGCTCGAGATGCCAGCTCACCCCGACGCCAGTCCCTGCTCTGCCAGGCTCCAGGATGCCCACCGCAGCGGCTGCAGGGCTGCTCCCCAGCCACCCTGTTCTGTGCCCTCCAGGGCTGCGCAGCCTCGGGCAGCTCGCGTGACCACCCCAGCCAGCCCCCTCCGAGCCCTGCAGAGGCCCAGGCCGGTGGGGTGACTGACTCACCCTCCTCCACTCCCCACACCCCCCAGCCACCCCAGGGCCACAACAGTGTGGCTCCCCACCTAGCGGGCCCCCTGAGCCTGAGGGGGGGCCCTCACGGCTGCTCCCTGCTTCTCCCTCACTTCTCCCAGGCCTCACCTGCTGTCTTCTCCCCAAGGACCGTCATCCCTGTTACCCCATAGTCACACTCGTGGAAAAGTCAAATTGCGCACTTGTCAGGAGAGTGGAACCGAGGCGGGGAGACAATGCGGGCGGCCCCTTCGTTACCAGGGAATTCCCTCACCTAATGGAAGAGCCGCCATGAGCCAACCAAGGGTCTGAGCACCAGTCTGGCGGCCGGAGGGTTCACGTGATACCTCCCCGCAAGGGGTAATCGGGGTCCTGCTGATCTGGGATCTACAAGATCAGCACAGGAGGAACGTGAACACCCAGGGAGCCCTTCCGCTCCCTCCCCAGAAGTGTAGGTGCTCTGCACCCTCTTCTAAATATTGCCGGGGAGCTCAAATGCCTATAGAAAGGCGAGGGACCACCTGCCGCTGCCTCGCCTATGCAGCCCAGGCTTGCACGTGCTCCTTGAGGATCTCTCCTGGGAGCCTGATTTTGCACCATAGACGGCGGCGATGCTGCTGAGCCAGCGAATGGGGGCGCGTCGTGGCTCTGGCCTAAACGAAGACCTCAAGGATCCCACTCGCAAGCCCTGGCTTGGGCCCCAACAGGACTGCTCCATCCTGTGGCCTTGGAGACCACGGAGCCCCGCCCGCGCTCACCTGGCCAGTAGTACATGTAGACCTTCCGTTGGGCCTTGGTCAGCGTCACCCACAGCGGCTCCGAGCCGTTCCACCAGAGTGGCATCAGGCTGTCCCTGTTGACACCGATGTCAAACGACTTGTTGGTGTTGGGGTCCCACATGTAATTCCCGGTCATCTGGTGTACCTCGCAGTGGCGGCCTGGGTCAGTGAGAGCACACGGGGTCAGGTTATTGTCCTGATGGTTTCCAAGCTTATCCTGTGCTCCCTGATGGTCAGAGACATTCACGCTCAGTTAGAAAGCACAGAACAGCATGCACATTTGCTTTCGATTTTTTCACCCTAGAAGTTTCTTGTCTTTGACAAGCTCGTGCAGAGGTGAGTCAACACTTGATGGAGAGTGGGTCCTTTTGAGGGAGTTCATGTCACGTCTGAAGCAACACTCACACGTGAAATGTACATTCCCCACACTGACCGCGACTTGATGTGGAAATGTGGAGTGTGGGATGGGGTTCGGCTCTCACTCGAGCGCCCCGTGCCTCTTGCCAGCCCTCCTCCCACAAGCCCACAAATGTCGATGACGTAGAGTTGATTTTCTTTGTTCCTATTTCTGCACTGAACACTCATAGAACCTCTGACAATGGAGCAGAGTGGCCAGAAATAGATTCAACTTTGACAAGCACAGCGAGAAAACCAGCCTCCACGTGGCCGAGTCTGCAGGAAGAAGGCCTGTTCCTATGGGCCCAGCCCAGCCCCAGAGGAGAAGCCAGGAGCCAGAGACGCTGCACTTGGATTCTCTGGAAACATTCAGCTTCAATTATTTATTTTGGAGCAATCTGTTACATCTTTAAAGTAAAAATAACAAAAACATTGGCAAGTGCATCAGAAATGGCCACACATTTTAGTGAACACTTCTGGGTGCCTGGAGGAACACGTGCGGTCCAAGTGGCTCTCGGCCTGTGCTGCATTTCGTCTTGCCCAGGCCCCCGCCCCCTTTATTTTTAAACAAAAACAAAAAGAATCCATAAAATACAACTTTCGGGACTTGGAGAACCGGAGTACCAGAAAGGACAAACCTCCCGTTTCGCCAGCGAAACCCGGGCCTCGGCGTCCCAGCCCGGAGGACCACACCGCAGGGTTCGCCCAGGCCGGGTTTCCGGCCGCAGCCCCCACACGTGGGCTCACGAAAGCACAACGAAGCCTGAGCCATCCGCCGGCGCTGGGGACGGGCCACCGTGTTTATGCCTTCAAGTCGCTTGGGGAGACGCGGCCGCGCTCTTCCTCCAGGCAGGACCAGGCGGGGGGCTCCGAACCCCCACCCGGTGCTTATTGGTGAAGCAGGGCGCCCCCACTCCCCACACGGACCCTGAGGCGCTCCCCGCAGACACCTGGCTCAGGCGGTATCAGAGGAAGGTGAGTGGCCCCCGGCGCCGCTCTGCCGGGTCCTGGCTGCCCTCACGCACAGCGTGGTGCCCTCTGGGTGCCCGGTGCCCTCTGGGTGCCCAGCCCTCCGCTGCTGCCTGCTGCCTCCTCGCCAGGCCTGACGGGCAGGACACCGCTCTCCAGCTGGGGTTGTCGCACCTGAAACCCAGGTGCACAGACACTGAGGAGGGGTGCTTGTGGGAAGGGGGGAGCCACCGAGTCCCCAGGAAGGCCGGAAGGACCAGGCCCATGAGGTGCAGGAGACACAGGGGAGACGCCCGAGGGGCTTTCAAGAATCCCCGCTTGCTGAGATGAACTGTTGAGGCAGAGAAGAAACACCTGTTCTAGAAGAAACACCTGAGCCACACACAAGCAGGGGCCTCACGTGCGTCGGCTCTCACAGGAGAAGCATGACCCTCCCTGGTGTCTCATTGTTTTAGTGTCGTGCTGTGAAGCTGGCCGCAGCCCCTGCAGCACCAGTTCCATTCCCGGCCAGGGAGGGACCCACAGGGCCCAGCAGACCTCTCCTGTCTCCCCGCTGCTCCCCTCGGCAGTGTATCTCATCAGTGGATCTGCCTGCTCTGCTCCCCACTGTGTCTCTGGTGAATCCTCTCACCTCCCACCCACACACTTCTGGCCTGTACCCCAGCTCTTGTATGCATTAATAAATACATCTTTTTTTTTTTAAGATTATTTTTTAAGATTATTTATTTGTACAGAACTGGGGTACAGGCCAGAGATGCGGAGGGTGAGAGGATTCACCAGAGACACAGTGGGGAGCAGAGCAGGCAGATCGACAAAGTGCACTGCTGAGGGGAGCAGCGGGCGGGTCAGGAGAGGTCTGCCGCGCCATGTGGTCACCTCCGGGGCAGGTGGGAATCGAACTCATGCGGAAGCAGCTTTAGCTTCTGAGTACAGTGCTTTAACCCGCTGCGCCACCAGGAAGGGCCCCGGAAAATTTTTTTTTAATTTATCTATGTGCAAAGAACTGGGGTACAGGTCACAGGTGTTGGGGGGTGAGGGTGAGAGGTTTCCCCAGAGACAGAGCAGGGAGCAGAACAGGCAGATGGACGAAGCACACTGCTGAGGGCAGCAGGGGGCGGTCAGGAGAGGTCTGCCGCGCCATGTGGTCACCTCCAGGGCAGGCGGGAATCGAACTCATGCAGAAGCGGCTTTAGATTCTCAGTGCTGTGCTTTAACCCGCTGCGCCACCAGGGAGGGCCCAATAAATACATCTTAAGAAAAAAAAAAAAAAAAGAATTCTGGCTACATTAAACCCTCTCTCGTGCGCACACACCTAATTTTAAGCCCCCAAAGACAGGAGGGCTGCGCTGTCGTGAACGCACAACGCAGGCCTCGGTCAGCCTTCCTGGGATGGGATCTCGCTTCCTGTCACCGTCTCAGCCCTTTCCTGCAGGCTGTGTCCTCCCCAGCCACCTTAGAGCCCCACAGCCGGTGCATCTGTTGGTGACCTTGACGCGAGTGAGCCTCAAAGACCCACTAAGGCGTCCTTCTGGAGGACTCCGGAGATGGCTGTGGTCCCTTCCCCGTGGGCAGGTGGCTTAGGAGGACCCAGAGTGTGTCCCCCAGAACACCCGTCCTGCAGGGGCACCCCTGGAGGGAAGTCATCGGCGGCACTCCGGGACTCGACGCTTTTCCAAAGGCGGCAGCGAGGGCCTGGGACGAGACTCCGGCTCGCTTCCCACCGGTGAGCGGGGCCTGAGAGGCTTCCGAGCCCGCAGCTCGCGGGGCCCGAGTGCAAGAGCTTCATGTGCGAACGGGGCTCTTCGGACCCGCCGGCGTCTCCCGCCTTCGAGGTGGGTTTTGTTCTTTTGCAGCTGGGCTTGGAGTTGAAGCGGGCGTGGCGTTCCCCGAAGTCTGGGTGGCAGGCCCGGGGCCAGCCCCAGGGCTCCCCTTTGTCCTGGGAGCCCCCTCTCCTGGTGCCGGCAGGAGCATGGTGACCCGGCCCATCATCTGCTGAGTGCTCTCTCCGCTGACAGCGCTCCGTCCTCCGACGCCCTGAGGGCGGCAGTGCTGAGCAGCCTGCGTCCTGGCTGGTGCCCACCCGCCGCCTCTCGCGCCCTGGTGAGGGCCGTGGCTGAAGCACAGAACAGGATGCCGTGAGCTGGCTGCGCAGCCTGACCTTCATCTGTTTTTACACCTCGGCGTCGCTCCTGCTTCTCCTCAGGTGGAGGTTTCCAAACAGCTGTGGTTGGACGGTTCGGGCCGTTTGCTCAAGGGTCGCCAGCTGCGCCACGCACCGGCGGCCGTGGCGGGGTGGAAGGCGCATCCCTGTGCCCTGCTCCAGCTGCTCTGCAGACGCTGGCTCGGGGGGCTCGACGGAGCTCGCTGGGGAAACCGAGGCAGCACCCGGCCCGGTGTGACGTTTCCAAACGTAGTCGGACATTTTCTCCTCCGCACCTGACCTCTAAGGCCCGAGAGTTTACAAGCCTGAAACGAGGAGCGTGGCACTCCGCCTGGCCCTCGAGGCGGCCGTGGGGCCCCGGCCGGGTGCCTGACCCACCTCAGCGACAGCGGCTGGCAAAGGGGCCGGAGGCCCCAGCGTGAGTGCCCCCGAATCGCAGCATCCTGGCGCAGCGACCGTCACCCGAGGCTCCTCACCAGCACCTTGCTCCTTCTCGTCTGTTCCAAACCCGTAGACCCGG